TGGACAGAGGTAGTACTTCTCAAAAGCGAAAGCCACCTTTTTTGTGTGCATTTCGTACTAGGAAAAAGTACGAATTACCCCTCGAACTATTGCGGTCGTCTGAATTATCCCCCTGAAATACAAAACCGGACATTCTTCACCCGTAACTATGCAAACCGGATGAATTACCCCCTCGACCCAATCCACGGTGGTTTTGGTCTACGTGGCAGTCCAGTCAGCGTTTTTTAATTAAAAAATTATGGGACCCGCATGTCATACACTTCTTACTCTCTCTCTATTCTCTCTCAATCTTTTCTCTCTCGCACGGCGGGGACGAGCGCGGGGACGGGCGGTCGGCGTGTGCGGTCGGCGAGGCGAGGCGAGCGCGGCGGCACGGACGGTGCGGACGTCGGCGCGGAGGCGGAGGCGGCGCTGATGGCGGAGGAGCGTGGCGGCGGAGCTGTGTGGCGGCGGAGGAGCGGAGGCGGCGGAGTCAGTTGTGGCAGAGGCAAAGGCAAGGTTTGTGGTGAGAGCGTGCAGCGGCGTGGTTAGCGCTTTGGCACAGCAGCAGGGAGGAAGGCACGCGCAAGTGCATGCATGAGCAAGAAGAGGAGAGAAGGAGGCGGCGGAGGAAACGGCGGCTGCGACCCGCCGGTGACCGATGCGCTATCCATGGACAGCGGCCTCCGCGAGGTGTCCCTCTCCGTGGTCTTCTCCGTCTGGTGCCTCCTCCTCCTTCGCTCCCAGTGTCATGGATCGATCAATGTCATGTCACCCTGGCGTTTGATTGATCTCTTCTTTGTAGATTTCTACGACGATGTCGAGGACGGAATGCGTGAAAACTACTGCAAGGTAATGCCGCTGGAGGCCTACATTTTCCCGACTGAGTATAACGCCTCCGCGGCCGCGCCGACGTGCCAGCCATCGTTGCACCCGCCGGAGCCGTAGCAAGAAACCGACCACCGGAGCCTGGAGCCGTTCAACAACACAACCGGCAGCAAATCGTCCACGGACGCGGCGCTCGATGAGCTCGACGAGTTCCGGAGCCGGATCCTGCAGGGCAAGGCCGCGAACGGCCGCATCCCCGACGGCGCGGCGGCCCACCGGCTCGAGCCAAGCGGCGCGGAGTACAACTACGCGGCGGCGTCCAAGGGCGCGCCAAGGTGCTCGCCCACAATCGCGAGGCCAAGGGCGCCGCCAACTTCCTCGGCGCCACGCTCCTCCGCCGCCTCTGCCGCCTCATCTCCTCCGCTGCCACACAGCTCCGCCGCCACGCTCCTCCGCCACCTCCGCTCCTCCGCCGCCACACAGCTCCGCCGTCTGCGCCGACGTCCGCGCCGCCGCACTCGCCTCACCTCGCTGACCGCACACGCCGACCGCCCGTCCCTGCGTTCGTCCTCGCCGTGCGAGAGAGAAAAGAGTGAGAGAGAGAATAGAGAGAGAGCAAGAAGTGTATGACATCCGGGTCCACAATATTTTAATTAAAAAAAACGCTAACTAGACTGCCATGTGTACGCCACGTAAACCAAAACCACCGTGGATTGGGTCGAGGGGGGTAATTCGTCTGGTTTGCATAGTTATAGGTGAAGAATGTCCGGTTTTATGGTTAGGGGGGTAATTCAGACGACCGCGATAGTTTGACGGGTAATTCGTACTTTTTCCTTCGTACTGCTACGTGCAAACGACAAGCACATTTGCGCAGAAACTCAAGGACACAACAGACACACGCGTTGCATTCTGTTTCGCAGCTGCTTCCTTTCTCCAGCTTTTTTGTTTGCAGTCGATCGGCTTGTTTCAGCCGTAGTAGTACAGTGTGATTTGGTATTATCCTGCAGGAATTTTTGGAGTTGGTGGTACCAACAATAGATTATAGTAATTTTACTGTCCTTAAGGAGGTACCATGATATACCATTTTTTCTACTGTACATAATAACCTAGATAGGTATTATGAGATACCAAATTTTACACTAAATTTTTGGTACTCAAGGTACTTTCCCAGGTACCGTAGAATTGCTCAACAGAAAAAGGCTTTTTCGAGTGGATAGGCATAGGCAGGCTCTGATCGTTTGGCTTCGGCTTATCCACATGGACGAATAAAAGAATTCTACATAGTAAAACTTTTACAATGTTAAAATACAAAGGCTATGTTTAGTTCACGCTAAAATTGAAAGTTTGGTTGAAATTGGAACGATGTGACAGAAAAGTTGGAAGTTTATGTGTGTAGAAAAGTTTTGATGTAATGAAAAAGTTGGAAGTTTGAAGAAATATTTTGAAACTAAACACGGCGAAAGTATATCTGTATAATTTGTGGTTTCAAATACAATGTTAAAAGCAAAAACGATAATAAAAAACTCTAAAATTTAATTTGAAGATAAAACTGATAAGCCAATAAACAGATGGTGAGAGTGCGACTCTCTGAAGCGTTTACAGGCTTTTGTGTGAAAGTTCCCGGAAATCTCGTGTTGACAAAGAGTCAAGAGCCGTCCAAAATTCTGGATTTGCTTCCGCCATGTCTACTTCTCATCCTGCCAATAATCAGCCGAAAGTTTCTCGCCAATTTCCTACGTAATATTTCCTATTGGTCATTAGGAAAACTAATTTTTATTTGACCCATGCTTAGGACAAGAAGACTAGACCGGATTGTACTATTAATTAGGCTGGTCCCTCATGTTGATCAGCTCGGTGATTATCCTGTTGTTAAGTTAGGCTTGTCCTGTAGCAACTGGACTTTGCATCCCAAGTCATGATTCTACCACACAATTTAGTATCTGCTCAGATGTTCATCACGGCGTGCCTTTTCAAGCTCTAATCAACATGTACCGATGTACGAGCTGCACGCGTGCTCAATTTGTTCTTTACCTACTCCCTCGGGATGTGTCATGTCCAATTTTAAATTTATTTTTTTTAAGGGGAGTACTCAATAACAAAATATGTCAGATTCACATTTTTATTGTTTTCATTAATATTGCTATTTCGGCATTACTAGATAGCGTAGGATGTGTGTTTGTTGACGGTGTTACCAAATTCGCTAAATTAAGTTTTTAAGAGTGGTAATTTATATAGAATTACCAAAATTTACAGCAACAATACATTTAGTTTATTGTTTTAGGCCGTGTTTAGTTGCAAAATTTTTCTTTAAACTTTTAACTTTTTTTATCACATTGCTACAATTTCAAACAAGTTTCTAATTTTAGCGTGAACTAAACACACCCTTAATACTAAATTAGTAGGGATAAAAGTGATTTCGAAAGGAACAAGCGAGTCTACATCACTGTGGCTGAAATGTGAGTAGGAAAACGAACGGTCGACGAGAAAAGCTAAGTCCTGTAGCTAATTTGGCTGTGGTGAAAAGCACCATCTGTCGCTCTCCCCTTTGCTGCTTTGCACGTACGTGATGTTGTCATACATATTGTCGTATTACTAGTTGATCGGGTTGAAGATTCTCTCCTGCTGATATCTTGTTTACACTGGCTGTCTTGTACAATAGGCTTGATAAGGAGTCTAAGTTTTTATTTTTCCTATAACTTTAGTTATCTTCAAAAGAAAATTTCATATAAAAATATAGGAGGGTAGTTCATTATTACTCCCGGGTACAATTGGTGCACGGATTTGTATTCCACCTATTGTGGCGGAGGCAAGAATTTTACCGATCAGTTTCATTTGATACTTGAGTGATGATAACTTTAAACCCATATAAATTAAAGTTGATATAAATGGTTTGAAAAAGCTATGGGGTCAGCTCAGGGGCGGAATCAGGCATGGGGCAGTTAGGGCTTGAGCCCCATGCCTAGCTCCATAATTCCCATTATAATCATGAAAAATGTTATGTAACTTATGAAAATATTTGAGATCTCGTTAGCTCAGCCTTAGACGTGGAAATTTTCTGGCTCCGCCACTGGGTCAGCTAACCCATGCACTTCTATATGGATCCAATCACTGCTCGGATAGTCTTGCTACGTGTCCTCCCTTCTGAAATGCTTATGACAGTTGTAAAAAAAAACTCTGAAAAGAATTGATGATAGGAAATGTTGTGGGAAGATACTTGTATTTTGTCTTTTGTTATAGTTATAGTTACAGATATACTAAAAATCTGGGAAGATACTTGTATTTTGTCTTTTGTTTCATAGTTTCCTCGGCAGCGGCAAGGAGCACTATTTGTTTGTTCATATATATTGAAGAGAAATGAAGATAAATGAGATCCTAGCATTTTACTCTGTTTCAATCATAACAAAGTTGGTTAACACTTAAACTTTGCTCTGTGTTTTGAACTTTTGATCACTCATGAGCATGAGACCAGTTCTCTGCTATTGTTTACGATAATAGAAGGTTCACTAAACAATGAAAACATCTGACCTCTGCACCAAGTAGTTCTCATAGGATTATTTTCCCAATTAATAGGATGTAAGGGCTTGTTTGGTTATATCCAATTTTTTTTGGCAATGGTAAGATCTGGCAATGCCAAAATTTTGTCACCTATTTGGTTGGAACCAAAAAACGGCACCGATGTTAAAACTAGTCAATCTTGCCAAAAAAAAAATGGTAACATTTCAAACATCAACCTTACAAATGACACAGGATCAAACATATACTGCATGATAATTTCAACAACCCCCCCCCCCCCCTCTCTCTTCTCTCCAAGATAACTTGCATGGCCTTATACTCTCTCTCAATATCTGAGATCATATATATTCCGTACTATAACATATATTGATTGGTATGAAGAAAACCAGATTTGTTCAAAAAAAAATCGTCACACGTCAATCACTGATGAGTATGAGTAAAAGCTTAAATCAGCTCAGGATTCAGGAATATGAAAATAATAAGTGTGCATGGTTAATGTGTGCAGCCCAATCAGTACCAGTAGGCAGTTGCATGTCCAGTCCGGCCCACAAGAGGGTGCTGGTGATCAGGCAGTTTGTTCTCAAGAGGCTTTCTTGTTGAGTTTCACAGCAACAAGTCCATAAAAAAGCCTAGCTAGGTTGCATGCTGCAACACCGCATGCAAAACCTTACATAAGGGCGTCAAATCAATTACTAAGAGTTATATATATATTGGCACACCTAGCTAGTTGATCATCTACACGAAGTCGATCGATCATCACACCTCCATATTCATCAGGTGTTTGTTCAAACTCCGAGTACAAACTAATAGTTAAATTAATTTATATTATTAAGAGCTATAGCTGGAGGAGCTCTTTCCCGTCTCGCCGCCGCCGCCGCCCATCACGGTGACCTTCTCGCAGGACGGGCAGACGTTCACCATCGCCGCCGCCGCCGCCCTCGGGAACTGGACGTAGAGCTGCGAGCCGGCCGCCGCCGCCGCCGGCGAAGCCAGCCGACGCAGCTCCATGAGCTCATGCTTGAGCTGCTTGTTCTCCTCGGTCAGGCTCTCGCAGCATCGCTTCAAGAACTCGCAGTCCACCTCAGTCTGCTTCAGCTTCGTCCTGCGTTTTGATTTAATTTTTCACAGATGTTAATCATAACACTAATTGCAGAATTTTGTAATCTCCAAACTGAATGTAATTAATTTAATTCTACGAACCTGGCTCTTCTATTTTGGAACCACACTTCGACCTGTCTCGGCTTCAGTTTCAGCTGACGAGCGAGCTCGTGCTTCTGAGCCTGTCATATATGAAACAACCATGAGATACGTTCATCAGGTAGCCCTAGAAGAAGCAGAAACTCATACGGCTCGATCTCTTGATCTCAGTTGACCAAGAAATCATCAGTTAATTTCTTACTAACTACATGGATCATATGCATGAATCGATCGAACAGTTGTGTTAAAATCCCAAAGAATTAGTAACAGATTACTCGATATGATGTGCACGTAAACGTACATGAGAAAGAATGTTGTGGACGCGGAAGCTGTCCTCGAGCAAGGTCGACTGCTCCTTGGTGAGCTGGAGCTTCTTCCTCGTGCCGCCACCGCCGCCGCCGCCGCTGCCGCCATCGCCGCCGTCGTCGCCGAGGCTCAGTACACGCGAGCGGCTACCGTCGCCGCCGCTGTTCCTGATGGACCTCATCACCCTTAGCCTTGCACCTCTCTCTCCCTTCATGATCTTGCTCCCTGAAGCTTGTTCTTCATCACGGCCATGATCATATCCCCTCGTGATCTCTTCCTTGACATGCTGGGAGAACAACATCTGCACCGGCGACGGAGACGACGGTGACCTCCGGCAATCGTCGCCGCCGTATGCGTAACCGCCGCCGCCGATCCCGAGACCAAGCCATGAACCTAGATCCTCTCCTTCCATGCTACTAGAGCTATACATGGACTATATCTTATGTAGAAGCTTCTATTCTATGTAGAAGAAGAAGAAGAAGAAGAAGAAGAAGAAGCAGCTATAAGTTTAAGGTGTTTGCTATGGAGAAGATGAAGTGTATGTAGAAGAAGAAGAAGAAGCTAGAAGCTTACAAGGTGTGTTTGATAGCTATGGAGAAGAGAAGAAGGGGTCAAGAAGAGGAGTAGTGTGTTTATGCTAGCTTTATAGGTGACAACAACAACTCGATCAACAAGGTCGGTTTCTTGTGTAAATTGAAGAAGAAAATTATACCGCATGCGGTTAATTATGGGGATCAATTAAGCTAGCAGGCGTTTGCTTGTGTACGGAGGTGAATTACCGACATAATTTAATGTGTCATTTGACTGAAGAGGAAGGCGATGAAAGGGATCGGAAGGTAGCCAATTAAGAGGACTAGCTACTAGCTAATGGTAGGGCGGTTTCTTGGACACCAGCATCAGATGCTATCTGTTACAGTATCAGGAGTGTGTTGTGAAACCGACGACATTTTAATTGGCAATTTGTGTTAATAACGCCCGTGCTAAATGCCTAAATGTAGTACTATATGATAGTAAATTGCTCTGCTTTTTTTAGAGCGGTCAGATACAATGCACTTAGATTGGTATGAATTAATTTAAAAATGACAATTTCCATTTCTTTAGTGAGGCACAAGAATATTTTTGTTCATTTCTAGCTGCAATGTAATGTGAAGTGGGTGCCTAGTGGATTTGTGCAAGTGCCGAGAACTCTTCTTTAGCTTTATATTAACAAGCCTAATTAAGTTGCTACCATGAGTTTTTTTGCACGAAGAACACATTTTGTACTAAGTTGTAACAAAACATTTCATTGACGGTCTGCTGACTGGTGTTGTTCATATGAAGCAAGTGCACGGAGAACGACACATTTGTAATTTTTCTAGGAAGGATCAGTCCACGTTTTACAAAACAGAGAAGCATATCCATTATCGTCTCCCTCCAGTCACAGTTTAGCCTATTTAATCTCCATTCGCAACAGCCAATTCCTTTTATTTTTCTCGAGGCAGGAGAGAATGAAAGACAAATTAAATCTATGTTGTCCTCAAACTCTTCTCGCGAGTTTTCTTTTTTAAAAAAGAAGACAGAGAAGGATGGCTTCAAATATAAATATACTCTATTCGTCCTAAAAAATTGTAATGTTTAAAAAACAAGTTAATATAAAATGAAAATAATCTAGATAACTCTCATTAAACGGGGGTGCTTCAGAATGGAGATAGTTGGGGTAAGGCACGGTTTAGTTCTAAATTTTGAACCCAAAAACGTCACATCGAACTTTTCTACACACAAACTTCCAACATTTCCGTTACATCGTTTTAATTTCAATTAAACTTCTAATTTTAGCGTGGAACTAAACACACCCTAAGATTGGAAGGAATTTAAATGAGTGGTGATTGGAGTGAAAAATAGTACTACTCCAAGTCTAAATTGATGTAGTTTAAGCGTAAAAAGTTGTCCCGTAAAGATTGTAATTTTAGAGTGGGTCCACTATAATTATTTAATAGTAGTATCATTTCATCGATCATTTTCTCTTAGTTTTAATTAGAACCAGAAGCATTCCCACGTCCTTGCTCTTCCTGCATTAATGAAGAAGGTCACAGTAGTATTTTAACCTCCTATATATTTAATCTATCTTTAACTAGCTAAAAATATAATCTTTTAGGAACGATGGGAGTACTACTTTAGAATCGTATCCTTTTACAAACTTTAAGTGCTATAGTTATATTCTTTTTGTACTTGGATTTTTTTCCTTTCTACTGGCATAAATGTATAGTATTATCTATTACTCTCTCCATCCATAAATATAGCCATTTATAGGTTTATTATAGATTAAGGTTGAGCACAGAAAACTTTGTTGGAAGGGGGGCAAAGTGAAAGAAAAAAAATGTATGGTTGTAGGTTCTTTTGAAGTAAAAGGCTCGATTATCCATTATGTAAAAAAAATGAATGAGATATGATTAATGATACAAGTAGTACTTTAGAATCGTATATTCGTAAATAAATTTTAAACGTTTGAAATGCTTATATTTATGGACAAAGTGGAGTATAATATTACTAATTGTGAAACTTAATTATGACATTTTAATAACGTGTGTTCTAAATATAGCACATGATGGTAAAATAATCCAGTGATTTTATTCTCGCTGGGTAAAAGAAATGAGGCTAGCATTGGCCGGGTGAGACTTACTTAGCTAGGTGTGAATTTAAAAAGGACATATTGTCCATTTTTTTATGACGCACAAGAATACTTGTTCTGCAATATGTGCAGAGTGGACTAGCGGACTTTTGCAAGTGCCAATATGGTTCAATGGGAGTATGAGCTTTATCAGGCCTAATTAATTAGTGTTTGCACATGATTAAACACTATCTGGCACAATTGCAATAACAAAAATAAATCGAGTGAAGCTCGTGTAACACACCAATTTAGGGGTACGTGAGCGCAAACTACTCCTTCAATTAAATGAACTAAGTTTTACATTATTTAAGGTGTCATGGAGTTTTTTTTTAATTATATAAAACGAATCCTGTATATAAGAGACATTGCAAGATTTTATATTGTCATGGACCAATCGACACCAATCTCTACTCCAGTTGAATCTGAATCAATCCTCATGCTTATTCCTGGCTATATATTCATGCACCCAAGAGACCGGAACAATTCGCAATGCCCACTGCCTATTAATGCTTAGATCTCTCACAAGCAGCCGGTCCATAGGGAAAAATAACACCTCCAAAGTAACTGGATTTTTCACATTTTGATTCTTTTAAAAAACTTATTTCGCAAATAGACCCCTAAAAAAACTTTTCCCAGAAATGGTCCTTTTTGGCGCCAGAGTGGCTGGCGCCATCGTCCAACGGGACGACGCCAGCTTCTCTGGCGCCATCCTCCTGCCACCGTGGCACACGCGAACCGACGTGGCAGGAGGAGGGCGCCACAATGGCTGGCACCGCCCTAGGGATGAGGCATGCTGGCGCCGCCCCTCTCCCCCCCCACCACCCCTCGCCTCTATTCCTGTTTCTCTATATAGAGTTGCAACCTTTTTATTTTTATTTTAGTTTTTCGGATGTTTTTTCGCACTTAGGATCACGATACAACCAGCCACAAAAAAAAAATTTAAAACTCGAACGGAATATACCACTTAGCTAGATATGCGAAAATAGCATACCACTTAGCCTACTTTACACCTTCATCAAAATTAGACCATAACTCCTTTAATAAAACCATTTGATCAGCATGTTAAACATAATGCACTCTACCACTATATGAAATTACTTAATCTCTAATTCAAATATAACCACATGAAATGATAGCCATAAGTTAAATAGTACAGAGAGATGTATTTTTTTTATTTTTATTTTATTTTTTTGATATTTTTTTCACACTTAGGAGAATACAGGAACCAACCATAGAAAAAATAAACTCAAATGGACAAAATATGTGACTCGTAGAATTTTCCAAAGCTCTACTGAAAAGTCATTCGGGTATCATTTATTAAAATAGACGTAACTTTCTCATACGGACTCAGAATCAGGCAAATAATATATCCACAGACATCTACAGAAAAAGTTACATCCGATTCTCCCCGCTTTGTCGGGTACGGCGATTCTAAAACCTCCAAATTCTGCTTGCAAGATTGTGTTTTCGAGGAGAGAAGTTTTTCGGTAGAGCTTTGGAAAATTCCACATGCCACATATTTCGTCCGTTTGAGTTTATTTTTTATATGATTGGTTCTTGTGAGTTCCTAAGTGTGAAAAAAATATCAAAAAAATAAAATAAAAATAAAAAAGTTGCACATCTCTCTCCTCTGCACTAGTTTGGAGAGAGAGAGGAGAGGAGAGGAAAAATTCTACAGGTCACATATTACATCCATTTGAATTCAATTTTTTTTATGGTTAGTTCTTGTTTGTCCCTAAGCGTGAAAAAAAAATCAAACAAATAAAAGAAAAAAATCGGGGGGGGGGGGGGGGCGCCAGCCACTCTGGCGCGCTCCCCCTAGCCACCTCAACATCGCCCTGCCACGTCGGTAGGGGGTCGACGCCAGAGAGGCTGGCGCCGTCCAGTTGGACCAAAATGTGAAAAATCCAGTCCAAAGTAACACGCATGATAAGTTTCTGAAAGCGGCACATCATGACAGTTCCGTGTCCGATGATTTCTGGGATTATCCCCAAAAAAAAAAAAGCCTAAGGCCCATGTATATAAAGAAAAGGAAAAAAATCTTGGTAAGAGATAAGAAAGTGAAAAACTCTCCTATTAATATATCATGATATATATTTGATCAATTCTACACTTCTACTCCCTCCGTTTCAGATTATAAGTCGTTTTGACTTTGATCAAAATAAAACTGATTAAAATTTGATCAAGTTTATAGAAAAATAGTAACATATTCAACACAAGACAAATATACTATAAAAGTAAATTCAATTAGAAATTTAATGAAACTAATTTAGCGTTATAGATATTGATATATTTATCTATAATCTTAGTCAAACTTAAAGCAGTTTGATTTTGACCCAAGTCAAAACGACTTGTAATCTAAAATGAAGATAGTACTATTATATATATTGTTTCATATATTTGTGGTATTTTAGAAAAATATTAAGTTCAATCACCCATACCTAAAATTCTAGATAAGTCACTAGGTGGTTTGCAGAATTTTGCCATGGTTCATCTTATTTGAGTCTATCTTGTTCTTGAAAACCATCTCAGGCTTTCAGCAGGTTCAGTGCATCACCAAGAAAACTCATGCAAGGTGGTCTGCAGAGTTATTTTCCATGGATTATTATATTTCAGTTTCCTGTTCTTGAAAAATTGCCTCATGTTTTCAGCATTTTCAGCAGGTTCAGTGCATCGAGAAAACTCTTGACGAAGAACGAATTTATCTTTATCTCCGGCGGCAGATGCCGCATTTACTGAAGAAAATGCAATCAGCGATGGGGACACGTGTGCCTCATGTGCAAATAATGTGTAAGCTAACCAAAAAGAAAAACTTAAAATGGACAGCAAATTCTCTGATAATCTGGCCAGCTCGGAACAAAATCTAGGAGATGATCTCAAATTCTCAATACCACTTACGCCGAAAAAAAAAAGTCTTTATTTTGAACGCGTAAAAACTTTGCACGCGAAAACAATATAATATTCTCAATACCAGTATACCACAATCTAGCTTCACAGCACACGACTAATCAGTATATAACTTAAACTTGCTTTGAGCTTTTAATCTGGATGCCGTCGTTCTTACGGTGGAGAATTTGGCTGATATCTCCCCATCGTTTGTCAGGGGATTATGCAGTCAAAAGGACGGGTTTTGCGTATTTAAAGCCGCTTGATAGCCAAGCTTCAATTCAGTAAAATAGTCAATCCACCCATCCTGTCGTAATAATGCTGGTAATTAGCTTGAACCGTTCAATTACATTGGTCTAGCATTGATTCAGTTCTCCAATTGATGATGCTTGCGTTTCTATCTTTTGCTAGCTTTGTGGCTGTTGAACCATGAACAGTATCTTTGTACAGGAGGAAGTAGTCTCTGCTGTAGTGAACTGGTTCTGTCAAAATATTCTCCTTTTTGCTCAGGTTTTTCAAAGTTCTGAATTTTTTTGTCGGCATTTCTAAGTTAAGTTCACATGTTGTAAATGATATGCTTCGGAGATTTTAGGAATCGGAGGGAAGAGAATCGAAGTAACAATGTACTGAACTAGCATTAGTCCTGATCACCATGACAGGGCACTATAAAAAGATGGGTTAATTAATTAATTAGTGGTGCAAATTGATGCAGCTGCCATGCATTGAATTTTGCATTTGTCTTCTCTTCTGAATTCAACTGCTATGGTGTTTTCAGGTCTTCTCTTCTGAAACAACATTCGCCTGAGCTGCTTCCTTAGTCATACAGTTAGTTGCAATTCTCTGTCTGAACCTGACATGCATTTCTTCCACAGATTAAAATTAACAGGACGTGTCTAGTGCTTCCCGGAAGTTTCAGATTTCGCATCAAATGTCGATGCATGGTGAATTTGAATTTGTTTCATTCGATGATCGAGACGTATCGCTGGAGATGAAGACTGATAATAATTAATAAATCTCCACGTGCCACTAAAATCTCAACAATCATAGCTTTGCATGACAATGTCATCAGTACACTAAGAGAACAGATAGGATCAGTGTTAGTCCGGCTGCTGCCGCGAGAGAGGAAAAGAAGAACATGATGAACTAATCAGTGATTCGATCAGGCCGTAATTATGAACGCTGCCGGAGTCGTTTCTTTTTCTAGGGACAGTTCAGAGAATGAGAGTGCTGATCGATCGATTTGACAATTTGACAATCTGACAATGACACCAGTGGAGAATGAATCGAAAAAAACTGAAAAGATCGATGAACAAACAGTGTATCGACGAACAGGTCGCTTGATCGCTGGGAATGGACAGTTTCTTGCGCGAGGGGATCGATGCTTACGTGAGTGCTTCCGAATGGTTGGTGCCCCGTCCTTGTCTCGGTGGCAATGATCTTGGACTGCCATGAAAGATTTCGCAGAAAGATGAGGAAAATCGGTAGGAGAACCCACACACACGAGCGTCTCTGAGATTCTTGGTTTGACTGTCTAAAGCTCGTAGGAAGCTGAAGAAGCACACAGTTTCAAAGGTTACAGTACTTTTTATCGTCTTGCCGGTCATCTTAGTTGCCTGATGTGACGAACAATTCAACTGGAACAATTGTAAACGTTGCAAGTACAATTTGTGGAGTGGAGATATATATGCTCCTCATCATCTGAGAAATCTGGAGCAGAATCGATCAAACTTGACATCAGCCGTTCAGGTATCGCCAAAGTAAGTACAGCATCCGGTTCAGTTTCAGTGATGTCAGTAGCCAATTCTGCTTTCTGCACTGCAAAAGAGAAAAGTCCACTTTATTTTTCTTTTTGAGCGGGAAAAAATATCTACTTTACGTCGTTTAAATGGGGGTCCAGTTTCAATTACATATCCCTCAACCGTAAAGCCGAATATAGTGTATCCCTCAACTACCAAACCAATCCAAATCAAGTCCCCAAATAGTACTATGAGCGGTTTCGATTCATATAACATCTTATTGACCTAGTCTTCATCCCATATAATATCGTGATGATATTAACATGGCACTAAAAAATAAAAATAAATAAACACCGATGAACAAGATATTACATGGGATGAAGATCCTGTAGTTCGGTTAACGTTTAAGTGGAACTACAAAAAGTTGCTGTGGTCTAGTAGTTGACCACAGACGGTCTTCCTGTAAGGCGTACTCCAGAACCGCTAAAATGTTAACCGACGAGATAGAGGAATTGAATACTCTGGAGCTCCTCTCCTTTCACAGCTGCCAATAAATGAGTTCTGCTCCTTCCATAGTTGCCAAGAAACCAAGAGGACTAGGAAGTCGAAGCCCTTACGAAGATGCTTCAGCAGGCAATTCCTAGAAGTCGGCCACCAAACCTAAAGCGTGCAACCGCGGGAAGGAGCGAGGTCAGGCCAGCCAAGTGAAGACAGCACATGGTGCCAAACCTGTCGAACGAACACACAGTCGATGAGGATGTGACTCGTTGTTTCAAGGAGCGAACACAACGCGGGAAGAAGGGAATGTCAGTGACATGGGGTTTCATTTTTTTCCCCTAATTGTAAGTACAAGATAGGCGCCACGTAGGACACAACTGGATCAACACGCCACATCAGCCGTCATCAAAAACTACCGAGGAACGTAGGTTCTAGAGGTTGAATGTGCTTCATAGTTGAGGGATGTGACTGAAACTCGATACTTAAGGACCTAAACTGAACTTTTCCACTGCAAAATGCAAGCGAACTGGGCCGAGAGTGGCGAGGTTGGGCTGGGCCGGAGGCCTATGTAGGATGGCATGTACAGTAATAAACCCTACATCTAGGGGCTTTTCCGGAAGGGTCGCTCTATAAGTTTGCAACACCCCAGCTAGGGTTTCCATCCACATTCCACCTGCGGCCGCCGCTATCATCCACATTCTCGACTCTCGTCAGCCTTCACGAACACCACAGATCGATCTGCGGCGTTCGTTTGGTTTGGTCTGCGATGTGCTTCTTCGTGTTTGTTTTGCTGTTCTCTTTCGTTTTTTTAGCTGTTTGGTTTGGTTTGGTTTGGTGATCTGAGGATGGACGCCGGCGATGAGGAAGAACATGGTTCGCTCGTCTGAACGGTGGGTTATTTACCCACCTTGCAGATTTTAAAAGTAGTCTGAGCCGATGCAAATTTCCTCTGGATTCATCGTTTTCCTTGATGAGTTACTGGCTTTACAGTTTTAGACCTTAAAAATCCTTTGTTTTCACTTATGTTTCTGTCCAGTGAAATCTCTCCGTTGGGATATTCAGTTGCAGTGATGAGTATCTCTTTTTTCGAGAGCAGGTCTCGATCTGCTTGATGAGTCTGGGAAATAATCACCTTATTTCCTCCTGAGCGGTTACCTGAGCAACTCTTAGCACCATCCAAACTCTTTGGAGTTTCCCCAACACATCTGACTTTTCTTGGAATACAATTTTTTTTTTTTGCTTTCTTAGCTTCTTGTTTGTCTCACTTTGCTGATTTAATAGATTAACGTTTGCATATAATCTCAATTTTCAGGTTCATTTTCAACTGCAAATTCAGAATGTACTTAAAAACATCATTACGCAAGAGACACAAACTCTCTAGAATGGCACACATATCATTACATCAAGTTTAGTAGAAAGCTACATCATATGATTGAGGACCAACACTTAACCTGCGATTGCAAGTTGCCCTCAAACAAGATCAGGGCAACGCAAGCAACGAAGGAGATGGCAAAAAACACATCCCCCGACAAGTTACAATGTTCAGCTACAGCAGCATCCACAGATGACACTTATGACAGATGCATCATCTGCTTGGCACAAGACAACCATAAGGTCGAAGAAACTTGCAAGAGCAATGAAGAACGGTGTGTATGGAAGAGAGCTATGATTGATATGTTAGGAGGCTTGATCATTCGTCGGTCTCTCTGGCAGGTGATTCTCCTGCTCCAAGAAACGGACGACGAGGCAGGTGATGTTGTCTGCGCTTCCCCTCTGTGAGGCCTCCTGGAGGAGCTTCTTTGCAGCCTGCTCTGAATCCAGAATTGGCTTCACCATGGCCACAGCTTCCTGGGATCACACGAGAATACATGTTATTGCTTCATTTTTTTCACAAGAGAACACATGTTATTACTTGCATTTCATATAGGAGATTTTGAGAAATTAAAAATACATTTCAGATAGGAGATTTGGAGATTGAAAAAACATGTCATTAGTACTTTATTACTGGCTTCAGACTTCAGAGTTCAGAAACATGCATTTCAGAGAGGAGATTTGGATAAATTAAAATGATTCAGAGATCAGAAACATGCATTTCAGAAAGATATTTGGAGAAATTAAAATGATTCAGAGTTCAGAAACATGCATTTCAGAAAGAGATTTGGAGAAATTAAAATGATTCAGAGTTCAGAAACATGCATTTCAGAGAGGAGATTTGGAGAAATTAAAATTAGTGTGTACCTCGTTGGTCACCACGTCCCAGAGGCCATCACTAGCAAGGATGAGGAACTCGAGAGAGCTGTCGACCACCTCCTCCTGTACAGATCAAATAAGCAGATAAATGTCGAATTTCGATTTGCAACAGTACATAACGTAATATGGTCGTATCCTGAAATCGTTCATGGCCTCTATGCATATACTTTCTTTATGAGCTGCATGAATTATGAATTTGAGATTGGAAGAAACTTGAGGACCTTGATCTCTGGATCAGCAACCACATATTGCTTCAGGAGTTTGTCACCAAATGCTCGAGAGACAGCAAGAACACCACCCACGCGCCATGTTCCTACAAAATTTCCGCCAACAGAATTTTAGCATTTTTATAGATTAAGGACTTGGTGTTCAATGTCGAAAAAAAGGGTAAATGTAGCATCAGCACAATGAATAGATCAAGAGTTGAAATACCAGCCCACATCACAAAACCACCAGCATCCTCTATCCTCTGCCTCTCGTCTGACTGATCAGGCTTGTGGTCTCTTGACACAGCTATAGCTGCATCATCAAGATGAAATAATGCATCACAAAACTGAGGTTTCAATCATTTTAGAAGCAAATTGTAATAGGTAATATAGAGTTGCTCGGTTGACACAACGAACATTCATGATACAGACCAGGACAGGACATTGGTTGAAAAACATGTACAGGTGAAGCACTTACGCTATCTGCCCAACAATCAGTAAAGTAAACATGAATTGAAATGTTCTTAATCTTACCATCTCCTCCTCTACAAATGACAGCCCTAGAATCTCCAACATTTGCAACGAGCAGACGGTCGCCTACGAGAATTGCAGTGGAGGCAGTCGACCCTGCATCTCGATTGTGGCTGGTTTCAGCTTTCAGAAGTTCAGAGTCCGTGCTAGTGTAAGTTTCAGCTGCAGGACAGAATGTTCAGGGAATTAAACATCCAAAGTGCAAACAAAATTTTTGGGTGAAGTAGTTTGCTTTAGAGAAAATAGACACAGATAAATAGCACAATACCAATTGCAGACTTGGTATCACTGAATAACTTTGGGTGCTTGATTAAATTGGTGAAGAGGTTCTGCTTGACGAATTCTGCTGCTCGAGCTCCACCATGACCTGCAGAAAACAAACCACGTAGTATTACGATCAGTAATCACTGAATAAGCAGGTGACGATATTTATTTAAGTCAACACAAAACACTAATTGCATCATGAAAAAGCATCAGATTACCATCAAAGACACCAAACAGTCCAACGGTCTCTCCATCGACACCATCAATTCTGGTGTCATAGAAGTCCTCCATGGAGGATCTTTTTCCAGGAGAGCTCGCATAACCATAGCTAAATTTACCATTTGCACTGTCATGATAACACAAGAAGAACAACAATATCAGGTAATAATAACAGAAACGAATTCTCTGTCAATGGCTATATACAGATATTCGAAACTAACACTCCCAATCCAAAATGAAAAATCACCCATCTAATAAATAAAAACCCCCATCGTTTGGCTTTTTTCATAATAAGCCAAAACGGCTTATTAGGAAATAAAAATAAATTTGTAGGTAAAACTTTTATATATGCGTTCTGGGTGATTTAAAAACCAATGTTGTTAAAGAAACTACGTTGAAAATATCTCAAAATCAATCTTAAAATTAAGTTTAAAAATTTTAAATTTGGCTTATTCGTTGGCTGTTCGGCCCCCAACTTGCTTAAAACGGATCAAACGAAAACGAAATCAGAAAGAGAGATGAAGCGAAACGGAATACCTGAACCCGCCGCCACTGCCAGGCGAGCCAGCGGCCTCTCCGGCGAGCCCCATCAAGCGCACCTCGCCGTCGTCCTCCTCCTCCTCCGCTCCCTGCGAGAGACAGGAGCAGCACGGGAACAGCGACAACAAGGCGAGAACCACCAACGAGCCGAGGAGGAGCACCTCACGCATGCACGCGAACGACGGAGGAGGAAGAAGAAGAGGATGGCGATCGATCCGGGGAACGCGGAGCTCGCTCGTGTCCCCCCTCCCCCCCTATAATGGAGGACCGGACGCGCGCGCGCGCCGGGCGTCACGTGGCGCCACGCCGTGCGCGCCACGCCCGCGCCCATGGTTGGTTTTGGTCTTGTGGTTCTCCTCCTCCTCCTCCTGCTGCTGCTGAGCACGGACGAACACCTCGTCGTGGGAGACGAGGAAATGGGAGGTGACCTCCACGTGGCGCGAGGGCGACCCGACCGGAGCTCGCGCGGGGCGACACGTCGTCGCCGTGGACGACGGTTTGGCGCCTTCTTTCGCGGTACACGTCATGGTGGCGAGATGCATCGAACAAACTCCGTACTATTCAACTGTTTGATGCTTTCCACCGTCCAGATGTTGCAAATTAAGTGCTTCATATGCTCTTTATTTTTTAGAAATTTAATAATTTAGCAATTGTTTTTGTTAATTTACTTGAACGGATACTAATGAAGATGATACTACGTAAGATCATCTAAATGCATAAAAGTGAATTAGGATATCAGATAATCGAGACCTAATTTAAAAGTACAAAATAGGGTCGGATCAAATACTTCCAACGTGTTGAAACATCTGGAAACGTGTTGAAAGTTCACGAATCGAACCCAACGCGTTCGTACTCGCCACCGACTCAGAAGTCGGAAATTAAACTACTCCTTGTATAGAAAAATCGAAAGGCTTTTCAGATTCAATCATCAAACCAAACCTGTTCGATCGACTTCGCCCCGGTTCGAAGTTCGCCCGCCATGGCCGCCGTGTCGTGCCGGTGCAGCAGCGTGGTGTTCGTCGGCAACGTCTCGTACCGGGCCACCGAGGCGGAGCTCCGCGACGCGTGCGAGGAGATCGGCCCCGTCGAGTCGCTCCGCCTCGCCGTCGACGAGGACGCCGGCAACCGGCGGAGGGGCTTCGCGTTCGTCGAGTACCTCGACGACGAGACCGCCCGCAGCGCGTGCCGCAACCTCGACCGCCGCGCCCTCCGCGGCCGCGCGCTCCGCGTCGACCTCGCCGACCTGGGCTGCGGCGGCGGCGGGGGCGAGACGGACTAGCCAGTGGGCGTCGAGGACGCCACGCACGCGGCGTCGCTCGTCAACGGCGCGCCACCCAGCGCCGCCGTCACGGCGTACCTCGCCGGGCTGAACCGGCGGCAGCTGCGCGAGACGGTGGACGCGGTGGAGGCGCAGGGGGACGCCGCCGTGGAGGAGATGAAGCGGGCGTACGCGGGGCTCGCCACGCTGCTCGAGCAGGCAAGGATACTGCTCGACATGGCCGACGCCGACGCCGCCGCCGCGGCGGCGAAGCGCAAGAAGCGCGGCGCGAGGGATCACCACCACGGCCGTGAGGCCCAGCTTGCGTCAAAGCTGAGGAAGCTGAACGATGGCAAGCCCAGCACATCCATGGCGTTTGTACTGTAGCTAGTCGTTCACAACCCAATCGCAGCCCATGGGCCGGTTTCAGCTGGGCCGGCCCAAGCACAGAGAATTTCACCGGCATCCTGCACAACGAGATGGCACGGCCGAGATGACTACCGATAGAGTAAAACGTGCTCGGTTAAACACGATTCGCCATTTCGCCCCCACGTCGGCCCGCAGATCGTACGAGGTCTCTCCACGACACACATTTGCATTAGCCACTGCACACAAAACCATATGTGCACAGCAAAAAGATCAACTGGAGGCAATGGGTGGATTTTGCCGACATGTGGGCGTTTATTTTCCTTGGACAAGATCAGTGCTTTCCACGGTAGCAGATCTAGATCCACAGGTATAATGCATTTGCATATGGTCACAACAATGTCAGGTCTTTATGAAACACGCGCCTCTGCAAGACTGCAACATACAGCCTTCACAAACGTACAACCTGCGTTTAATTTCGGCCTTAAGCCACAGAATGTTAACGATTCTATCTACCAACTGTAACTGCATATAGCCACATTCATGACTGATAAGATAATTTCAGATAAAAGTAGTAGATGAAATTTGAGCTATTTAATCATGTATTAAGTTAAAAAAGTTGAAATATCTTATAGTATATGAAATGGAAGTAGTATAGGAGTCCGCATAACATTGTGATAGGAATAGACAAAGGTAAAATTGCTCAAGACTTCAAACCTACTCCCAAAATAAGCAAACGTAAAATAAGATGGAAAATAACCTAGTATAAAGAATCTGGATATGGCTATATCTTATCATATTTTAGGTTTCTTTATTTTGGAAAAAAAAAGTTTTGGGCTCATTTGAATTGCAGGAACGAAAAAAAATAAAGCAATAGAAAAAACATATGGTTCTGACAGAAATGCAAGTGTAAAACTATAATTATAAAATACAAAAAAAAACATATGAATAACTATTAAAATTACATAAATTTGAGAAGAGATAAAGACTTAAAGGAAACTTCCCATAAGATTCTACCTCTTAAATTTCCTCCAAAACTTACATGAAATGAGACATTTTATAGAATTTCTTAGAATTTAATGTTTTGATTCGGAGGGCTATATAAGAAAAAAGTCTTATAGGAATAAATTCTCTAAAATTTCTATGATTTTCCTTTAAATCAAAGGGGTCTAAATGTCCCATTCTATTTTAACATGGGATGGAGGGACTAAGGGTCCCTTTGAATCGCATGAATGGAAAAACGGAGGAATAGAAAAAACGTAGGATTTTGACAGGAATGCAAGTGTAAAACAGAGGATTGAAAAATACAGGAAAAACACAGAAATAACCGTTTGATTGGACCACAAGAAAAACGCAGGAATCGGATGAGAGAGATAGACTCAAAGGAATTTTTCCAAGAGGTTGGACCTCTTGTTAACTTTCCTCCAAAATCTCTATAGGATTAGTCATTCTATAGGAACTTTTAAGGATAGTATTGGATCCAATCCTTTATTTCAAAGGCTTTCATAGGAATTTTTTTAATAGGATTAAAATCCTTCAAATTTCCTACACTTTCCTACCAATCAAAGGGGCCCTAAAGTTCAAAAGTCTATGAATCGCATATGAACTGACACCGAAATGCACTACTCGCAAAGAAGTGCATTTGTGTGTCATCTTTTCAGTACTGTACAGTGTACACATTGCATGTCTAGTGACCAGTGACACGGGTGTGACAGGGAAGGGGGGCCTGATTGTCTGGATCTTGGTGTCCTCTCTCTGACACTCCGATATTCATCTTCAATTAAATTTAGGTCTCTCACCAAAATTTTAGTCTCTGAGAGGACTAAAGTTTAGTCCCTCCCACCCAAACATCACCTTAAATCGTGTAACTAAAGATTAAGGGACTATTTAGTTTACGAACAAAAACTTTTGGCGTGTCATATTGGATATACGAACACACATTTAAAGTATTAAACATGGATTAATAACAAAACAAATTGCAGATTCCGTCTTAAAATTGCGAGACGAATTTATTAAGCCTAATTAATCCGTCATTAGTAAATATTTACTGTAGTACCACATTGTCAAATCATGGCGTAATTAGGCTTAAAAGATTCGTCTCGCAATTTACACGCAATTTGTGTAATTGGTTTTTTTTAATCTATATTTAATATCCTATATATATGTCCAAATATTTAACGTGACGGAGTGAAAAACTTTTTGTTTCGAAACTAAGGCTGTGTTTAGTTGGATCCAAAGTTTGGATTTTGATTGAAATTGGAGATGATGTGACTGAAAAGTTTTGTGTGTATGACAGATTGATGTGATGGAAAAGGACGGAAGTTTGGATCTAAACACAGTCTAAACAGGCTCTAAAGAACGTGACGTGCAGACGAGAGGAACACACTCCCATGCCGGATCTCTGCCACTGTCCTCTGCAATCTAGGAGGAGTAACTTTTGATGACAAGACGACGTGCCTGCAAAGGTGTCACGTCCTGAGCTCTTTGCAGAGTCAGGATATGCCTTCCTTGCCTCATCAGGTTTCCGTGCTCAAACTTCCAAAGCTGCCCACTTTGAAGTTTGAAAAAGAAGCAAGAAACAGAGAAAAGAACAGCATGCAAAGAATGGCCGTGTGCCTTTTTTTCCTGCATTGTGGACGGAAGAACAGGTCGCAATTTTCTGCCTCGTTTGTTCAGTACCAAGAACACAGATATATGTGCAGTTATTCAGTTGATTCTGACGGTAGGTGGGAATAGAAATTGTACTACCTGAAACCTGATCGTTCGTCTTATTTTATTTTTTTTAAAAAAATATAAAGAATAAGTCACGCATCATATTTTATAATCTAATAACAATAAAAATACTAATTATAAAAAAAAATTAAATAAGACGGATGATCAAAGTTAGGTAGAGAACTTATGGCTGCACTTATTTTGGGACAGAGGGGAGTAGTACGATTTGGTTTTGCAGAACTTTTTGTAGTAGTACTAAAACACAGAAGTCAGAAACAGGCAACATTCTGTTTCTGTTGAACGGGTTTCGCTTGATTGGACATGATGGCAGAAAAGATGATGGAGCACTCAAGAGAGAAGCTGCATTCTGCTGCAATTGAAGAGAAGAATGGCATCATAATTACGAATAATATACTATTCTCATCGATCAGGTTTCAGTTCTGATCACAGCTTAATCAGTGACTTGCACATTATGATCAAGGGAGTATTCGCCGCTTCCCCATTTTATGTGCCCCGGCCTTTCTCCTCCGGCTAGTTCGATCTCAATCCCCTCTTTCTCCATCCAAAGATCTCTCTTCCTTCGCATCTATTTTCCTGAAAAGAATGAATTCAAAATGTTACTATTTGTTTCCTGCACCATTCAAACATTCAATATTACAGAACAAGGTTCAAGTTCTCAAAAAAAAAAAAAAAACAAGGTTCAAGTTCTGAACTTCTGATGCATTATAACAGTTCCACATGGCGCAAAGGTAAATGACAAGCATCCAAGCATGTAATTGAAACAATGAATAAAGTTACTAAATAATGAGTTATGATCCATAATCTCAGTTACATTGTTCAGAGTGAATTTATCCATTCAACGGACGAAGACTAATGGGCAGCAGTACTCTATACGACGATACAAAGACCTAACAATTTCTCAAGACAGGACTGATTGTGTATATAGAGGTTCTGACCATTCTTATACTACCAGAGAGAAGTATTTAGGTTGTGCTTGCAAAAAAGGACTCTGAAGATGACCACACAACTGAATGTACTATAAGAATCTCCTAGAAAAAAGAATGTACTACAAGGCATACATGTTCCGTTGTCTAAATGAATATATCTTCAGCCAACAATGGAAAAGTGATTACGATAGCTCACTAAGAAATAAAAGAAATGGATCACAGCAAGGGTTGCAATTAAACCACAGGATGAAGGTACATTGTTTGATAGGTCACCATTATGATGGCCTCAATGTCACTTGAACAACTTCTACAAGCATGAGTGCATCAAGCTAGAAAGAAAGTATGATCAGCAAAACACCTAAATGGCATACTGATCATATGTGTAGTAAACACTTATGTAAAGCACACATGTCAGTGTTCCCCCCAAAGCAACTAAACAACTAACCATGCAAGTAAAGGAACAATGAAGGCAATCTTGCCGAACAAAGGATTTAAACACACCACCAACCGCTCAGTCCATGACAATGAAAACAATATGCTTTCCCTAAGCTACAGATCATGGCCAATGTGGACCACAATTGGGTACACCTGCGACAACTAGTACGCGATAAACAGGTAAAGTTAGCAGAAGTTACAGTGCTAGGCAGTTGTAAGCATATTGCAAGTGCACACCTCCTGAATTACTACACCCTTTTCAGTACCAAAACTGGCCATTGTGTGGAGATTATCTAACTTTTACTGTTCACACCATTGTCCTTTCCATTCTCCCGGCCTAGCAAAGACATTCCACCCCCACATTCAGTTATGAAATTAACAGTAGAGCATGTTCTGCTATGTTCTACACTTCCTATTCTAAATGACATGAGACACAGGGTGAATTGCAACTAGGTGCTGTTCTGTACTCCCCCGTCCCAATACGTAAGGGATTTACCCGGCAAAAAAATATATAAGGGATTTTGAGTGGATTTGACACATCCTAGTATTATGAATATGAACAGAGAGCACGTCCAAATTTGTAGTACTAGGATATGTCACGTCCATCCAAAATCTCTTATATTTTGGGACGAAGGGAGTACGAGGCATTAGCAGTTGCACGGAAGTGGCAAGCAAGGGCCAACCACTGCAGATCCTGAACTCCTAGAAGAAAGATGGGGCCGTACGCGTGCCAAATTAACAACCAAAGCACACACATATACCAAGATGCATGAGATTAATGTGGACATTGATTAGTACTGTCATCAGATATCGCAATCTTGGACCTCGATAGAAAAAAGGGTCAAGAAAAACGCCTCTTGTTTTTGTCATAGGACGTACTACTAATTAACCAACAGCATCAGATCCCTAGAGCAGACTTACACAGAAGCAATGACAAAACAGCAATGGTCCCTGTCATCCCAACATCAGATTAATTGCTTTTCGGACTAACACACATCAGATCAGTTTATTTATTATCAAATAATTAAACAAGATTAGGAAATCTCAACACTTTGACAAGAAAAATATCCCCACCGCAAACAGCACATCAACACATTACTCTCAAGGAGACGAGACGAAAATGCGTTGAGACTTGAAACAGTACAGAACATCACTGTCATTTTCCCTTGTAAGACTCAATGTCACTAAAAAACAATCGACTCCACCCGAATAAATCACTTGCTAGAATTTTGTAACCCGGATAATCAAGAACTAGTTGCTCAAAGGTAGCATGTGCTACGGTGCATCTTTTATTACGCTACTGTAAGTTTATACCAACAGGTTCATGCTTTTTAATCAATAACAGTGATTAAACAGTGGCATTGCGAATCCGAATTGCGAAACAGTATTAGCACTGGTATGAAAAAGAATGGCTGAGGGAGAAGAATTGAGCCCTAACCTCCTCCTCCGCTCCCGCGTTCCTGGCAGCTCATCGACCTCCCGACCTTGCCGGCGGCGCGTTCTTGGTGGCGGCTATCGTTGGCCACCTTCGCCGAGTGAACCCTGAATCCGGCGCCAGCCCTGCCGGCGTCGGGGACCACATCGTCGGGCGCCGTCTCGACATACTTGGCGGCGCCCATCTCCATCTGCGCGATGCGCACGGCGCCGAAGAGCCTCTCGGGGAGCTCCTCCTCGGACTGGGACTCGACGAGGAACCCCATGTCGATGGTGACGGAGGTGACCGCGCCGAGCGCGAGGTGGAGGATGGCGCTGGCGATGGCGGAGCTGCCGATGTCGACGTCGATCTCGAGGTAGCCGTCCCCGCCGTGGTAGCGGCAGGTGAGCGCGCGGCCGAGGAGGCAGGCGGCGTAGTTGCCGACGGTGGCGCGCACCAGCCACGGGCCCTTCACGATCCGGTTCACGATCTTGAACCGCGCGTTCCGGTACGCGTCGTCGCCGTGGACGAACCGCCCCAGCAGCGACTCCGCCGGGATCGCCGCCTCCGCCGCGAAGTAGAACACCGCGCTGTACGCGTCCGGCCGCCCCGGCACCTGCACACGAACCGAACCAAGAGATTGATTGTCACAAACAATTCGATCGGCGTCGACGCGCAGATGCGATCGATCGGGGGGGGGGGGGGGGGGGAACGGACCTGGAGATTGACGGCGAGGAGGAAGTGGGCGGAGGGGTCCTTGCGGAGGCGGGCGCGGCGGAAGGCGGCGGCGACGGGGATGTCGTCGCGGGCGAGGACGTGGTCGAGGCGGGAGTGGCTCCTTAACCAGTCGACGCCGGCGGGGCGGAGGAGCCACTCGGCGGCGGAGGGCGCCTTCCCGCGCCTCCCACCCCCACCACCGCCACCGCCGCCGCCGCCGCCGCCGGAAAAGTACCCCCTCGCGCGCAGGTGGAACAAATCCCCCGGCGGCGAGGCCCACCCATTGGCGCCCCTCTCCAGGTCCACCTGCCTCAGCGATGCGCCCGACACCGCCTCCTCCCTCCACCCCTGCTGCTGCTGCTCCTCCGCCTGCTCCCTCCTGGGGCTCATCGCCGCCGGCGAGGGGAGAGACAATAAAAGAAAAAACAAAAAAGAAAAAAAAAGGAAGGGATTTTTGGTTGGGGGAGGAGAGGAGGTGGGTTCGGTGTTTTTGCGCGAATGGAGGGAGGAGTTGGGGGTCGCTGCTTCTTCTTCCAGCTCTACCTATAAAACAGTGGGAAAGAAAAGGAAAAAGGAATTTTTGATGCGTGATTCGTAGAGGAACCAAAATAAAGGTCTCGCCTTTGCTTTGAAGCACCTCTCCCCCTCCCTAATTTGCACTTCTCTTGTTGATTATCTTGATGTTTCTATTTTTTTTTCTCGAAACACGGGACAAACGCGGATGCTAGAATACATACGTGTACAGTCATCTACAGATTGATGGATCATCGTGAGGTTTTTTCTTCCTTCCGAAACATGAGACAAGCATGGATCGCGAATGCTAAGAGGGTGTTTGGGTGAAAGTTTAGTCCCTCTCACCCAGACACCCCCTAATATATATACGTGTACACTCATTTGTAGATTGATCGATCATCGTGAGGTTTTTTCTTCCTTCCCAAACATGAGACAAGCATGGATGCTAGTATACATACGTGTACACTCGTATCTAGATTTATCATCGCAATGTTTTATTTTCGAATGCGGTTACTCGAATATTTATGTAGTTATGTACATACTCATCTCCATAAATATAATATGAGCAAAAAGAAAAAAAAACTCTTGTCTTTGCATTTAAGCATCTCTCGTCCTCCCTAATTTGCCCTTCTTTCGTTGAATATCATGACTTTTTTTCGAAACACAAGATAAAAGCGGATGCTAATATATATACTTGTACACTTTTCTATAGATTGCTGACTATGATTTTTTTTCTCAAAACACGGGACAAACGTGGATGCTAGTATACATATGTGTACAGTACACTCATGTAGATTTATCACCACGATGTTTCTTTTTCTTCTCAGAACATGCGGACGCGGATGCTCATATATATACGTGTACACATCTCTATAAACATAACATACGCAAAGGAAAAAGCCCTTACCTTTGCGTTTAAGCATCTCTCGTCCTTCCTAAATTGCACTTATCATGATGTTTTTTTCGAAACACGGGACAAACACAGATGTCCAATGTGATATTTTTTTCCCTAAACACACGACAAACGTGGACGCTAGTATACCAATGTGTAACCCACCCTCCCCTCCCCCACTCCCAGTATACACATGTGTACACATCTCTATAAAACGTAACACGCGTAAAAAAAAGCTCTCACCTCTACGTTTAAGCATTTCTCCTCCTCTCTAATTTGCGCTTCCGTGTTGATTACCATGATGGTTTTTTTTCAAAACATGGGATAGACAAGGATGCTGGTATATATACGCGTACACTTATCTTCATAAACTTAACAAGTAGATTCTATTCATTTGATCACCTCCAAAAAAAAAATGGACTATTGACGAAGTACCTTGGTGTGTTAGCATTGTTTTTCTTCAACTAGTAATTACCAATTATAATGCGTGATACACGTTGCACTATCCATGAAATTTATCATAATTTTTAGATAATCCGTATGTAACAATTTATGATGATCACAAACACGGTTAACGTTTTCGACTAACAAAGACCAAAAAACCCCATGAAATATAGAGGTTTCGATGCAGTACAAAAGCAGATTCTATGAAATTCGGAATGGTTTTCAATAATTCAAATTTAAGACAGTAAAATCAGCCAAAATTTGATTAAAATTTAGTGAAATTTAACAAAAAAAAACTGTCATGTCGCTATGGTCGATCGGAATCCGGCACTCAATCAGAAGGGTAAACCATAATCCGTGAGCGTATAAGAAAACCGGCGAGGAGTCGTAGGAAGAAACAACAGACGAGTAAGCGATAGATAGTTGGATCTCGAATTTGCGTTGCTGCCTTCGTGGGAACGAACGGTCGCCACGCCTTCGCCTGCGTACGTGCTTGTCCTGTCCGGCGACGGCGACGGCGGCGGCGGTGGCGAGGATCCACGTACGCTGACATGTGGGGACACACGGCGGCGCCGTACGCCGGCGCGTGGACTCGCGACACGTGTACATGCGACGGAACAGTTGAGGGGTTGGATCTGAATCATCTGATCTGATCACGAGATGCGATCGTGCGATGCGCCACCGACAAGATTCGGGGGGGTCGTAGTGCCTCTTATCGCATCGACCGTCCAGTCTCCATCCGACGGTCCGAAAGTAGGACACGTCGAACAATGCATATACATACTGTACATGATTACGCCTACGTGTGTCAGCAACAGTATTTTTCTTTATAATTACACAATGCAACTTAGACACTCCCAACGTATGGGCACTCACCCCTATGAACACACGCACACAAACCCTACCCAGAGCATCTTCGAAGACTGCCTACCACTGAAAGCACAATGCCGATAAATCCGCGAAGATTGCCTACCACTGAAAGCACAACGCCGATAAATCCTGAAAAATTCGCTCCCATATAGAGTCGAACCTAAGATCTAAGGTGCTACTGAGTTTCTTGTAACCATTAGGCTATAGGCCCTTTCGCGTGTCAGCAACAGTATTATGGCTGAAGGAGCCGCAAGCACTCACCAATTGTACATGCATGGCCGTTTGCTTGGCAAATACAGAATCACATGATACATCAATTTTTCAACTTGCACGAGATAAAAAGTGACTGCTTAATTGGGCATGCAAATTTTCAACGCAACTATGCACATCATTTGTACTGTTGTACAATACTTGCGCAATGGACTGACAACTGATGGAAGTATATATAATCGAAACTGGAAGTACTCCTTCCTCCATTTCAGAATGTAAGACTTTCTAGCATTATCTATATTCATGTAGATGTTAATGAATCTAAACACATGTATATGCTTAGATTCATTAATATTCATATGAATATAAGCAATGCTAGAAAGTCTTACTTTAAGAAACGGATGGAGTACTTAAGAGTGCTTAGCAATCTTTACCTTTTCATTCCTGTTTTATTAAAAACCGACCAAAAAGGTAAAACCCGATAACTTTCGATAAACGTCATATAAAAACCGACTAATATCGATCGGTTTTCATATATTGAGATCTAATCGGTTTAGTGAACCCTCATACTATGTATAGCTACTAATAATAAGGTAGCAGTTGGCAGTTGTGAGTCGTCTCTGCTACTTCTTCAGTTAGCGTCAAGATGTGAGGCCAGATCAAGATGGCAGTTTAAAGCATCCACAGCTAGCTAAGCTCCATGGTCGACGGAGTAAGGCTACAGTACACAAACATGTGGATATCGGTTTATAATAATCTTGCGACGAAATTAGTAGTATATCGAGACTCGTGTCTGTTGAATCTATCCATTATCAAACACCAGTGGCCGGCGTGTTGTGTCCATGTGCAACAACAGTATAAATTATACCTCCTGGCACTGACAATCTCCTCTTAAACTTTCCCATTCTTTGACAAAATATTGAAATGAGAGCTGACCGATTTATGAAGAAGAAGCAGGGCCTGTTTGGCAGCTCAAGCTCCAGCTTCATCCTTTCTGGAGCTGAAGCTCAGCCAAACAGTTTTAGCTCCACCAAAACTGAGAGTAGAGCTGGGTGAAGTTCTCTCACAAAATAAACTAGAGTTGTGGAGTTGGGTTTAGGCAGCTCTATAACTCCACTCCAGACCCAACTCCTAGAGCTAATTTAGAAGTTGGAGCTGTACCAAACAGGCCCGCAATCTACTCCTATCTCTGTTCTTGCCTTGATCCATCCTCTTTAACCAACTTTGTGAATACTGAACAATTCAGTCTGAAAGTTACAATACCCTTGAATACTACTCCCTCCATCCCAAAAAAGACAAACCATGGGTTTCCGTGTCCAACTTTTGACCGTCCGTTTTATTTGAAAAAATTATGAAAAAAATTAAAAAGACAAGTCACGCATAAAGTATTAATCATGTTTTATCATCTAACAACAATGAAAATACTAATTTAAAAAAAAGTTCATATAAGACGAACAGTCAAATGTTGGACACGGAAACCCAGGATTTGTCTTCTTTTTTTTGGATGGAGGGAGTACTTTGAACGAAATGCATGCCTCTGAATATTATTATTAAAGTAAATTTCAGAAAATCCTATATTTTATGGTCATAATGCATGAAGTATTAAGCATAAATTTGATCATAAAACATGGAGTAGTATTAAGCATAACTTAGAAATGCCTAGCTAACAAGTTGCAGTTGGTTAGGCTGCCAAATGATTGGCCAATCGAGCCAATGCAACTGCAAGCAGCGGCCAGAATTATGCGATCGATCGGCGAGCACATGCACACCCACTTGCAGTGCAGCTAGCAAAACATTGGACAGCGCATTTATGCATGCACACCGGCCGGCGCGGTTGGATTCAAACTCAAACATGGCAAAAACATCTTTGAATAATCCACGGAGAAACAAATGTTCAGTCAGTCTTTGCATTGGAATGCTAGCCATCGGCAGCCAGTTGCCTCTTTCTTTCTATCAGCTACAACTACTCTTTTTTATCTTAAAATATAATAATTTACAACATTCTAATAATAAAATACTATAACTTCTTCTCCTCGTAATCGGGATTGCCTACACATTTGTCGGGTGATTTTTAACAAGAAATCACCCATATTTTTTTTACACTTAGATTTATATCCAACGGACTACAAAATAAAATAACTAATACAAATTTACTTATTCAATATTTTTATCAAAATTATAGTGCACTTACATATCATATCAACTAAATTTACATATGTAATTTTAGTTATATAGGACTGTAATTTTATATTTTAAATACTTACATGTCATATCTACTGAATTTACAAATGTAATTTTAGTTATATAGGACTGTAATTTTATATTTTAAAGAAAATAACAAATACATATTTACTTACACTTTATTTTTATAAAAATTACAGTGCACTTACATGTCATATCAACTGAATTTACAAATGTAATTTTAGTTATATAGGACTGTAATTCTATATTTTAAAGAAAATAACAAATACATATTTACTTACACTTTATTTTTATCAAAATTACAGTGCACTTGCATATCATATCAACTGAATTTACAAATGTAATTTTAGTTATATATGTCTGTAATTTTAGTTACATATAAGTTACAGTGTAATTACACTATAATTATATTGTAATTACATCTGTCAAATTTCTAAAAAAAAATTATCGGCAAATATAAAAAAATTGAATAGAACAGGTTTCTAGAG